TCTTTCGCTGTTCACACAGATGAACCGACCTGTGACATCTGTGTGAATGAATAAAAAAACAGATGAGACTTTACTGCAAATACCTTGGATTTCTTCCAAATCCACGGTGAGTGGATGAGTTTGACAGAAAAAAAAAAAAACAGTACAGGTAAATAAAGCAAAAAATAAATAAAATATAAAAAACAACAATGTGTCCTTTTAATCCTCTTCTTAGTGATGTGTGTGTGTGTGTGTGTGTGCAAGCACTTGACTTAAACACAACTAAATCTGTTTCACACACTTGAAGAGCTCCGAGAACAGAGTGGAAGGAAGTGACCTCGTAAGACCAGATGAGCGCCCACACACACACACACGCATGCACGCACGCACACACACACACAATCAGGCAGAGCTACTGATATCCACCCTTCCTCATCCCTCATGATAGAGAATCCCAGATGGAAAGTTTACACACTCACAAGTCAGACACTCTCCCTCTTTTCTCTCTCTCTCTCTCTCTCTCTCTCTCACTCACAAAAACACGCACGCACAGACACACACACACAAGCACTTGTAACACTGCAGAAAGCCAGAGAGAGAGAGAGAGAGAGAGAGAGAGAGAGACAGGAAGCAGCATATGTTTTGGGGTTAAAGCCTCATGTCTCACTCACACCAAACCACTACTCTGTGCACAAACACAAACACACAGGGATTCAAACACACACTCTCCAGATACGGACGTAATGCATGATTTGGAGCACATGCAGGAGAAAATCGGTTTTCATAAATGAGGACTTTACAGTGCAAGAGGAGGAGATGAATTTTTTTTTTTTTTTTCCTGTCTGAAAATTTTTCTAATATTCTCTGAAATGTTCCAGTTATCGGATTCTGCCGTTAATTTCCTGGAACAATCCAGGTGTTGTTTTATGAGATACTGACAGTGGGCATGACATTCAGGCTGGAACAGGAACTTTTAAAAGTAGAAAGAAAGAAAGAAAAAAAAAACAGTTACTGGAACAGGAACTTTTAAAAGTAAAAAGAAAGAAAGAACAGTTTGGTGTTTGGAGTTTCATCTGTGGGACAAACTTCTCCCATCAGCCCCATGCTGGAAAGCATGACCTAGATCATTGTTTCCTAAAGACTGGGTCGCGACCCTCAGGTGGGTCGCAAGAGATTTTTGAGGGGGGGTCGTCTCGCATCATGTTGCCAAGGAGTTTACGAAGAATGTCTATTGACTTGGGTCTCGAAGGTTCTAAACAAAATTACAAAATCAAAAAAAAAAAAAAAGAATTGCTGTCAATTAATTGCTCTGACTCTTTTGGTAAAAGGTAAAAAAACATAGACACACCTAGGTGGATCAATTGTTCCAAAATATTTTTTTGCTGTAAAAATTGTAAAAAAAAAAAATACCCTTACCCACAAACCCTACTATGACTTTTTCGATAAAATAGTAAAAAAAAAAAAAAAAAAAAAAAAAAAAAACACAAAAAGGCTAAAAAAAATTTTTTTTTTTTTAACGGAACATTCTCTGAAATGAGAGAGTTAATTCCAGGCTGTTTTACAGCCCAGGAGCCACACTGTGTTGTATGGTACTGTACTTGACAGACAGACAGACAGTGAATACAGAGCAGTACCAGTAGAACATACTACTACAATTAAGGCAGAAACGTGGAACAGAACCTAAACACACACACACTAGAGGACAAGCAACGAACGCAGTGACTTCAGACAGTCAGGAGATAAAATCCTGCATCACCTGCCGCACGCCAGCGGCTGCGCTGTTTCGGTGTGTGATGTTTGCTTTAGATCACAGAGTCGGTTAAACTAGAACAGATCTGAGCGTGTGCAAGATACTGATCGTTCAAATGGACCGAGGTGACTTCTCTCCTCGGCTGAGACGCAGCTGCTGCTGTCTGGAAGAAGAATCACTTACTGACTTGTTTAGTAGAAAATCACGACTGTAAACAGCGCGAGGCCGCGTGCGGGCGTGCGTGCGCAAACACAGCCACACACGCAGGCACGCGCGCAAACACGTCTGTCGTATGTTCACATCTCAACAACAGCGCTGTGTTTTTCATTAGGGTTCGTGTCGTGTTTACACTCATCTTCTCCGGCTTATGTGTGTGTGTGTATGCGGGTGTGCGTGATTATGTGTGTATATGTGCGCGTGTGAGTGTGTGTGAGAGATACGTGGAATGTTGGAGATGTCTTCCCATCAAAACAAACTTTCAATCTGTTTCTTATTGCCGGCCTATTTGCCCTATGAGACTCAAAGCAAGGGGTCCATATGGCATGCGGTGTGTGTGTGTGTGTGTGTGTACCTCAAGCCAAAATGGAGTACAAGTGTTTTTCTCGCTCTATTCCCTCAGCTGCTTTCTCCCCTGACACTGAAAATGGCTTTTTTTAATGGAAAAAATGACTCAAACCATATGAGTCTGATCACAGCAGTAATGTCGGAAACTAATTATTTGATGGAGACTGAATGTGATCTATTTGAAGAGCCGGTTGTGTTTTTCCATGTTAAAATAATGGCCTGTTTTATAGTCTGAGTCAACGTGTGGGTCAAACTACGCCAACGTCGGGTATAGTGTGAAGAAATCAAGCGAAGTCAATTCTGATACCAGTATCGTGTCGTCACCGTCGGGGGTTTTTTAGTCTTTAGCCGTTTAGTCTTAACGTCTCTTTGTAGAACTCAAACTACTACCACTCAACTTCAACTCACAATATTCAAACTGTTGACATATTTGTAAAAAAAAAAAAACTACCCCGAGAGTTACTGTGGTGGCAGCTGTAAGAGGCTAGCTTAAACATGCTAGCGCCACATTACTGCAAGGTTAAGCTGACAACAATTTGAGACAGACGTCTCACTCGTTTACTACACTCAATGAATGATTTGTCGATGTGTTAGCCGGTGACTTCCATGTTTTAAATTCACCAAACGAGTCAGTGACATTAGTTAAAAATGCAAATGCAAAGTTTGGTGAAGGCAACAAGAACAGGGATTCGGAGGTTCCTAAAGCCTTTTGACCAAAACCTGAATCCAAACTGTCTGGTTTCCCACAGGTTGAACCTTCATCCACCATCGTGCAACTCTGGGTCAATCCAGGAAACAAAGCGAACACCAGGAGTTTCTTTTAAGAAAAATGAAAAACGTATTGAAATTTAAATAAAAGCTCCTTTGTGTTCCCAGTTGGTTTGATTTTTTTTTTTTTTTTTTTTTTGCTTCCCCAGCCAAACGTTCCCTGAATTCATCTCTCCCTGTATTGACCGTCCAAGTACTTTGTATGGGTTTATTAACGTGACACAGTAAAAGTGCACAATCTCTGAATGAGGAAAAATGAGAAACGACACATGAAAGCTTCTACAGATACAGCAGTCACATGGATGACTCATTCAGTCGTAAGATTAGTTGTGACAGCAGCTGGTGGGTTCAAACCCCCGGAGCCGGTCCCTGGTTTCAAATGATAATTTTATACCGTGCATGGCCGACAATAGTACAGTAATGATCCTCATTAACCAGGCATTTGTATCGTACTGAAAGGTGGTGAACCAAAGACACATGTATTAGTTATGAGTCACGGCTGGTATTAGTTCTTGATCACAGTAGTTCTTACTTTCAGAGTTGGCTGGTACAATATTTCCTGTCAGGATTCACTCACACTGGGGTGGTGTACGTGTCGGTGACAACAGCAAAAAGAGAGAGAGGGGAACGGTTGCCCACATGTCAACCTATTTTCCCCTCTTCCTCCTTTTCCATCTCTGCAAACCTGCATACGTGTTACTTTTCCGGAAAGGAAGCGTCTGCTAACGAGACAGCTCAGTGACAGTTGTAGGAATGTGATCAATTAAGGCAGCACTCTGCAGATGGATTTCTGCTCTACTAGTCCGTTCTTCTCTCCTTCTCTGATCTGCTCCTCTCTCCCCTTTACACTAATTTAACCACTCCTTGGTCTTTTAAGGGAAAGAAACCCAGCAGTAGAGAAAGTCCAAGTTGAATTTGGCAAATAAAGTAGAAATGCAGCAGGTTAGTCAAAGTACCTGAGCTTTAAAAAAAAAAGGTATGACAGTAAATAACTAAAACCGTTCAGTCA